CTTGGGGGAGAGGAGCAGTGGGGGATTTGCAGTGGTTTATGCTGATGAACTGATGTCTGTCAGAGAGGTATGATTTGAGCCAGGAGAGTGAGAGATTTTCAAAATTAACATAATGTTCAATGGTCAATCTGCAGCTGACTCAAGGGAAATATTCACTCTATGTTGCTTTGTTTTTAAAACTGGACATTCATTAGGATGAATGTTCAGAAATAGAAGTGTTTTTCTTCTTGCCATTATCGTGCAGTGAGTCCCTCAGTTTAAATTCAGGTCAAATATAAATGACGATAACAAAAACATGGCGTCTCGATGCAGGCTACGTGTAGCATACACAGCCAGCAGCTGTTTTGAACAGTATTTAAGTGTGTTTCAAGATGTGTCCCTGAATGCAGCACAGTGCAGCTTCTGCAGCATTCACCACGAAAAAGGGGGTCGCAGTGACACTGCAAAGTAGGACATTATCCCAAGCATGAGAAATCACAGTGCCAGTTGTTTGCAAGGACGCGTCAGCCGCTGTTAATTATGCAAATGAGCTGATAAGGGAAGCGGAGAGGGCTGATAAAACAAAACAACCTCCTTTTTAATCACAGTCGGGGACTGCTGGAGTTGTGATCTCAGATCTATAATGCATGTAGTTACATTCATATTCTGTGTGTGTGTGTGTGTGTGTGTGTGTGTGTGTGTGTGTGTGTGTGTGTGTGTGTGCGTGCGTGCGTGCGTGCGTGTGTAGAGAGAGAGAGAGTAAACATCATCTTCATCAGAACGCCTCGTCAGCCCGTTGTGACGCTGATGATGATCATGGAAAGCCAGATGGTAATCAGAGCGCGTGCCTCACTCATTCATCTCTCCTCTTTGTGACACCTACGGGCTATTTTACCTGAATTTATGGGCCATGTGAAAGTTGGTGCTTCAGCTAAAGATTTGAGGAGCTTCATTGTGCCCCATTTTCAGTAGTTCCACAAAATTAGAATTACACAGCGCAGCGTAGAGTGAGTGGGCTCTGATCTCTTCAAAGTAAAAGGACAAACTGAATTGGAGCAACTTCAAGACCGTCTGCGTTCGAGTTCATTTTCCAGAGCTTCACAAAGTGTCTGCACTTCTTTTTTTATTTCAGTTCATAGCTTAGAGACGTATTGATGAAATATTGATAGATTAAGATGTTTCATTCGGGGGTTTCTTATGGCAATATTACGGAGCCAGGGCGGTGACATGAACAAAATATTTTTCTGTCGCAAGCACGCTTTAATAAATTGCACGTGCGAAAAAGTAACTCAAAAATTTATAAGCAGATCAGGCTCACTTTCCTATTGCACCATTGGGTCTTTAAATTAACCTATTGTAGTTAATTAAAGTTAGGGGAGCACACTATTTCCATGATAACCCCTAATGTGGAGTTAATGTTTTAGACTGCCATTCTATGAGATATAATAGTCCTTTATGATTTAGCCCTATAATGCCGTGGGTATCATATTCGATACAAACATTTGAGACCTATTGCATCCCCATATGGTAAAAACTTTGCTCAAAACCCCTTTGTATACAATCTGATACTTATCAGCATATTGCTTTTTTGAAGACTTTATGGTGAGATTTTTGTATAAATATTTACTAATATCTTAAAATGAGCACTTACTCTGTTGAAGCAACTTATAGTTACTTCATTTTTTGCATTTTAGTTTATAGTAAAAACGTACAGAAAATGTTTGTATCAAATTTAATACAGTAGGTAAAAAAGTGGAATTTAGTGGTAAATCCCTTTTTTCTTGGTGCAATATGCATTATTTCTACCATAGTGCATAATACAATGTTTTGGTGAATTAATTACAAAAATTACAGATTGAAATTTGATGTTTAGAACAAATAATTGGACTCAAAATTGATAAACCCATGTTTTAGATGGCTAAAAATAATTACTGTGTGGAAGATATCCTCGATAGCAATTTGAGCGACATAGAGGAAATTCTCATTCACCACTTTGCAAAACAAAAGGAAAAGAGATTAGGAGGTTATAAAAAAAATAAAAGCTCCAGATGTTATAGATGGGCAAGAAAAAAGGCATTTTGTAATTGTTATTGCCCGAGTTTCATGTACTGCCTGGTTACCAAATATAATATATTATTTTTTTGGTAAAATGATATCCTAAGCTGATACAGTGATATGAAATGATATAACGCATAAGGAAAGTGAAAGTAAAAGGCTGTATGTACTTGGATGTTGTGGTATCTTCGTATCTTGTCTTTCTTTCTTTTTTTTTTGTCTTTGTCAAACAATAAAGTTCCATCAAAAATCAATATCAAACAACTTCAAATGTAAATTGACATTGGGGTTGATCTCTTGTAATGGATATTGGGATGGATTGATAGGTTTAGTGAAAAAGGTATTTGTCAACATCTGCTACTTTATATTCCTACATTTTTATTTTTCAATCCCAGAAAACGTTCACCTTAAAGGACTTTGGACACTTCATCAAGAATCCCCGTGAACATTTGAAATGTATTCATGT